AAGTTGATTCCACAACCTCACCCACATATAGAATCAAACACCTTTCGACCCTGTATGCTAGAATCTTCGGAATCCACCGAAGAGAACTCTCTCTTGAATTTAAAGAAACCAACTCCTTGATGTATGTATTTTAGATCCTGAGTGAAGAACTCTTCTCAAGACATCAAGAAAAACTCTCAAAAATCTCCCCAGAAGACTTTAAACTCAACCCTAGTTTGTTTTGATCAGATCTAGGAAAACGTGTCCAACAAAACAACGTTAGCAGCTTTAAATAGGAATCTGAATCCGCAATCTCCGCTCGAGCTCAACAGAGCCCGCTCGAGCGGACTGAACAAAAACTGCATACGAAGAAACAGAGATGCGCTCGAGCGTAGGAGTTGCCGCTCGAGCGTCAAATCACACCTTCCAGTATCTGTGCTTGCCCTGTCAAACTACTGTGACCTGCTAATCTACGCTCGAGCTCAATAGTCTCCGCTCGAGCGGACAGTACAAAAACAGAAACACAGAGTTTTGAATCAACATAAGATTTTGTCTCCGGATTTGACAACACAGGGACCTAACACAACTATTTTCCTCCAAGGAGTAAGAGCTGCTTCTGATCTCCACAAGGTCCCTAATAGATCCCTCCTTATCATTAGATAATTGAAATAACCTTGGGAATTCATCTTTAAAAGACATATCTCAGGACCATTTATCATGCTAGAATTTTATTCTACAACCATTGCCCACTCTTAAATGTAAGTTAGAAACATAAAAAGTGAGTAAAGGTACTTTCTGCTCAACTACTGATACAATATCACTCCATAGTCTAGATAGGATAATTCTTGAGTTAAGATGAGGCAACTATTTTCCTCCAAGGAAGCTGTATTTATTGCAGAGGACCCTTTTCCATAATGAGTCATGTTCCGATGCAAACCTCCACCACAATTTGAGAAGCAAGCACACATTCACATCTCTAATTCTTCTTATGCCTAGCCCACCTTGCTTAATACTCTTAGATGCTTCCGAACATTTCACCAGATGGATTTTCCTCTTCAATTCTGAGCCCCTCTATAAGAATGAAGCTTGAATTTTGTCTAACTCCTTGGCTATACCTTCAGGTAGTTTGAATAAAGACATGAAATACACTGGTAGACTAGATAGCACTGCCTTCACCAATGTTAATCTTCTTGCAAAAGAGAAGAATCTCCTTTTTCCATCCAGGAAGTCGCATTTTGAATTTGTTAATGATAGGTTTCCAAGTCTTCTTTCTCCTAGGGCTTGTACCCAATGGTAGGTCTAAGTAGTTTAATGGCAATCTCTGAGCCTTGCAATTAAGTAAGAGAGCAAACTCATGAAGATCTGGATCAGAGAGACCAATCCCACAAAGCACAATTTTATGATAGTTGATTTTAAGCCCTTTAGCTATTTCAAAACATCTAAGAATCTGCTTCAAACAGAGAACTTCGGACATCTCTACTTCACAAAATAGTAAAGAGTCATCTGCGAATTGAAGGTGAGAGATCGCTACCCGATTGAATCCAATGACTGCCCCTTGTAACAGATTCAGATTTCTAGCTCTCTGCAGAAGTATATTCACTGCTTCTGTGACCAAAATAAATAGGAAAGGTGAAAGAGGATCACCTTGCCTAAGGCCTTTTTGAGGTCTAAATTCCATGGTTGGTGAACCATTGACAAGGACTGAGAGTCTTGCAGTAGAGACACATTCTTTTATCCATGAAGTCCATTTAGCACCAAAGTCAAAATTTGCTAACAATGAGAATAGGAAGTTCCAATTAATGGAATCAAAAGCTTTTTTGGAATCTAACTTAAACAGCAGTCCTTTTTTCTTAGATTTGGACCAACTATCCACCACCTCATTTGTGATTAGGATACCATCAAGGATATTCCTTTCACCCAAAAAAGCTGACTGAGTATCTCCTATAATCGTGGGTAACACATTACTGAACATTGATCCTTCCATTTTTAAAATTTTCAAACAAATATTTTTTCTTCTTAATTTCACATTCTAACACAAAAGTTACAAATTAATTGAATGCATTATTCAAAATCATATTTTACAAAACTAATATACAAAGGAATCAAATAAGGGAAAATGCAATAAAAATGAGGGGTGGGTGTCATATGAATGATGACATCAGGATTAAAGAAAGATTGTGTGTGCACAAGTGCAAAAATAATTATGTATAGACAAGTTTATAGACAAGTTGGATCAGGATTAAACAGGTTGGATCAGTTTATAGACAAGTTTGTCAAATTTTAACTCGTGAACCAACCAAAGCACCTATTTTATCAACTATCATTCTCAAACCACGCAAGTTGATTTGAGTCAGCAGAGGTTGTCAGGTCTGAGATTTGTTTTGCACATCCCTAAACAATAGTAGAAGATGGTTGGAAACGAGCAGTAATAATATGCACTAAAAAAATGTACTTCCAGAAACAAAATGTGCAGACCAAACTTAATTTAAGTATGACCTACATATCATATGTAATTTGAATTTACACTATATATTTTATTTTTAATATACTTTTAAGGATAATTTTTTTGGGACACAGCTTTTCAGTATATGAATTCCAAGGAAAATGCTACACAATTTTATGTCTCTGCATTTTTTGGCCCTTATATACATGTAACATTATGCAAATATAATTTGTAAGTCAAATTTTCATTAAAAAAAAATATATTTATGATCTTTTTATTTTCGATTAAAATATTTATTATTGTAATTTATAATTTCAAAAATTACAGCACTGTTCATTGTAGATTTTGTATAAAAATTGAATTTGTGGAACATTTTGGGTGAAAAAATAAAATGAGAAACTAAAATATAAACTCTTAAGTTGAGAATTGTCAATTTGGATGCGTTTGCTTTTGGACAAGGAAAAGTCTCTGATCCAATCCAAACCCACTCACTTCTCAACCAACAGCCGTGCCGATTACAGCTGACAAAAGTTTTCATATTTAATAATGATAATAAGTCAAAAAAACTGAGCTATCTTGTTATAGAGATGACAATAAGTCAAAAATATTAAATGACGTTATGAAGTCAATTGGTTCTTATCTTCTCCGCCGCAGAGTCCCCTTGAATTGAATTTGTGCTAGTCAACTTGCAAAAAGTCGATTAAATGCAGCCTATATTCTCATTCTATATGATATAATGATAATATTCGAGTATTAAATTTTAAAATTATTTGAAAATATTGTTAAAAATTAATTTTTAATTTTTTTAATTTTTCAAAAAAATATATAAAAAATATAAAAAATAATATAATTCAAAATAAATTAAAAACTCAAACCTAAACAGCTGTCACTGCTGGAAAAATGACTTTTAGCGGCGTTTTAAAAACGCCGCTATATATATAAAAAACGCTGCTATTTCCTTTAGTGACGCTTATCACCAAACGTCGAGGACGCGGCCGTCGCTCTAAGTTTATGACGCTTTAAAAACGTCGTAAAATTAGTATAGGCTTTTTTAAAAACGCCGCTAAATGCGATAAATAATGATAAAATGACGTCATCCAATATTTAGCAACGTTTTTAAAACGCCGTGATAAATTTTTTTATTTTAAAAAAATGTCCGTTGGCACTGTAGTGGCGTTTTGAAAAAACGCCGTTATAGCTCTTTTTTTTTAAAAAAAAATTTGTTCTGAATCTGTTATATTTAACTAAAAAACATACCTGTAATAAAGCTGAAAAATAACAATAATATGAATAAAATTTTACATCTACTTCAATATATTGACTAAATAAACATTACATGATTGTGTCTGAACCAAAATCAAACAACAAACACAATCAAAAAATAAAAAGAAAAAATAGGTTAAGTCATTTGCTTGCACATGCAGATGCAATGGAATAGTCAAGCATATTACACATCATTACACTGCAAATAGGGATTCGTATTCAATTAATCATAATAGGTTCATGTACAACAAAGACAATTTTGAGCAGGATACATTCCCAAATCCCAGTCAACACAAAGGAATGCAGAGAGCCCGGTGAACAGTGGCGCTGACACCATCTCCAACTTCTTCATATAATTTGTAATTTTCTGCATTGAAAGGAAATTTGTTCTCTGACACCTGTTCCATGGTTTCCTTTTATACCACAACATTAATACCCTCTTTTCTCCATATGTAACTCATTTAGAGTGTTATGTGGTTTCTCATTTGTCAACATTACTAAATAAGTAATTCCATAAATTACTCTAGAATGACTTTAATAATTTTCCTTTATCGATAGGTATGCCATTCTCAATGGTGCCAGGAATTGCTGCAAAAAACTTTGTCACTAAAGATAAGACAATTTGCAAAACTAAGGGTAAATGTGATTCATGATTGCAACCACACAATAGATGCTAAAAAAATTCATAACAATGCCTGAGGTGGCTTATGACAATTTTCATAACAATGCCCGCAGTGGCTTAGAAATACGACATATCAAATATCAAATCAAACCTGATCGAAGGCCAAGCATTGAAGCACGAATTTTTCCATGGAGTCCAGTTCCAAATCCAACGCAGCATCATAATCCTTCACCTTTATCATAAAATGAAATTTAGTAAACCAAAGCAAAGAAGAATTGAGCATGATGCCCAGTAGTTTAAATGGGAAAATCAAGAAAAAGAATCCCTAATACCGCTTCTCTATATTCTCCAATAGCATGGAAGGAAGAAGCTCTTAAATATAAACACTCAATGTTTGAGCAAAATTCACAAAACATATATCCTACTCAATAACATATATCCTACAGGTCATACTCTTGAGGCAGTCCACCATCAGTGGCATAATTACTAGAGCAAAATTCACCCCATTCTTTATGGCAGAGAGGTAGTCATGAAAGTGGGAGCTTTGCTGAGATAGAGTGGAGATTTGGGAAGAACTAATAAGAAGCTTTTTTGTTAAAGACAAATAAACCTGTTTGAGATGGCTTCTCCATAAAAAACAATTTTTTAAGCAAAATTGTGAAGACAATTTTACCCTCAATACTTTCTGAAATTTCACCGTGTCCCTACAAGGGCTCCACAATAATATAAAGGTAATATGGTAATTTCTCACCAAAAAACAACTTCTTTAGCAATTCCTAAACGCATTAGCTTTTTTAAATTTTAAAAAGCAAAAAAGCTTCATCTTACCCAAGGGGATGGTTTCCAAGATTTTCTTCTCAATGTCTCCCCCAAGTTTAGCAGTCATATCAGATGCAATGAACCCTACGGCAACAACATTAACCTGTTGAACCAAAAAAAAAAACTTCAATAAAATTGGTTTATATTTACTACTTACCTACTCACTAGTATCAGCTGCATCTTGGCTTGTGTCTAATTACAAGAATGAAATGAAACATATCTGGAAAACTCACATTAATATTCCTACTCGCATATTCCCTTGCCACGGTTTTTGTGAGGCCAAGTACCCCTTGCCTTTGCAGCACTACAACTGGTTTGCCCAACGTTACCAACAAGACCAACAATTGATGCTATGTTGATTATCCTTCCCTGCCACATCAGCAATTAAGATAAATGGGAGATTGAAAAGCAAAAAGATAATAAATAGCTACCAAATAATTGAAATTTTTTTTCTCAATTGTAAGCAACTTGTGATGCATTATGAAAGAGCATGAAATGAGGAGAGAATTGAAATTTTTTTTCCAAAAACTATTTCTGATGCAAATTTGAGAAACAAACTTTCAAGTGGAAATGCATCAAAAATAGGTTGAAACTAAAATCCCTACCCACCCCCCTGCAGGTGGGAAAAAAAGTGTAATTGTCTGGCAAATACAGTTTTAATATAAATAAAATTGAGCCTCTGAGAAAGGAATACCTTTTTCTTTTTCATCATAATTTTGGCTGCAGCCTGCAAAGAGTAGTAAAAAAGCTGCTTAGATCCTACTAAGAGGAAAGCTATGACTGCCAAAACTGAGCTTAAAATCTACACGCCTGTGTGCATAGGTATACAACAGTGAGATTTAGATCAATAACCTCCTTCCATTGAGCAGTCTTCATTCTCATCAATAAACCATCTCTAGTAATACCTGAAACCATTGTTGATCAGTTAGTGGACCATATGTGAAACTGTTAATGATGGAAGAGGAGGTGGAACATTCAAGAACCTGCATTGTTTATCAATCTATCAACTGTTCCCCATGCATCAACCGCCTGTAGATGCGACAATTATGAAGCAAACTAAAAAATATCACCATATTAAACTAAATATATATTATAATATTAATTTTATTATCATCTTCTTTTATTCTTATTTGTTTAAATTGCATACCGCTAGTAAATCTAAATAGGATCAGTCAGTTTAATCAGCTTATGTAGTTTGAATTTCATGAAATGACAATGCATGACTTTGTTAAAACAATAAGGCAACAAGCTAGATAAAATTCTATACATGTCTACATAGAGAAAAGATAACACCAGTTAGACACACATGTTCAATGGGAAAGTTAGAATATTACCAAGTTTAGGTGATGAACATGTGTTAAAACCATTGTATTTATGATCCTTAATTTCATTTGGATATTGCCATTGTGTTTTGTTCCTTCTAATTCACCAATAAATCACTCAAGAAAGCAGGAACATACAACGAATAGACAAACAAACATACATGCAAAATATCAGTCAATTGGAGAACATTAGCTAGCCTTTTCAAGACAACCACATATGCAGTTTAACCAAGTTGGAAGTGACAAGTTGATGCATGCATTCGTACTATACCCTTATCACAAGATAGATACGCTGAAAAAAATAATCAGGGAAAAACAGCAGCACATTGTGGACCATGTTTTCTCCTAAAGCATAAAGAGGATAATATTTTTAAACTAATACAGCATAAACCAGATAACCAAACAACACACCAAGAAGATTTTGGGAGGACTAGAATTTAGAATAATGAGAATCATAAAAGCAAAAAAATGCATGTGAAAGGTCAAAAAAAATCTAATAAAATATCCATACCTTTTAAACATCCCACCTTTGGCTGCCTTTGGATACTTGAAAGGGCAGCTTTGAAGTTCTCTAGTGATAGGAACCCAGAATCCAAATCCATATGACTAACAGCAGAGAACCTAGTGTCATGGACCACCAATACTCATAAATAAGGTTTAGGATGAAATTAATTACAGCAGTACACCTTCAAACTAGAATTCTATGCTTCCATGACAGAAAAACTTACAGAAACGTCAAAAGATGGTTGTATGTGGAATCAGAATTTGATAATGTATCAATAATTCGTTAGTCTCACAACTTTGGTTTAACGAAGAGAGTGAAGAAGAGGAGAATGGGGATTTGGGCGGGGAGAGAAAGAAAAGGGGGCGGAGATACAGATAAAATGAAGATCTAATATTATACTTACCCCCTACCTGTTTCTCATATTTTACTAAGTTGCCCCTAGTTGACAAGAACATTAAAACCTCCTTTGCAAATATGTTATTTTTAGTAATTTTTTTATTTTTAATTAAAATATAAAGAAAAAAAAATATTATGTTTGAAATGATTTTTTTTTTTTATTTTTATTATCAACATTTACCATTTCCATCTTTCTTCCACTTTCGTTACCTCTTTCACTTTTGCTTTTTATCGTTACTTTTTTTTTTCTTTTTTCTCTTTGTTGTATGCGACATGCTTAAGGCACAAAATATGTTCAATGATAGTTTTCTGAGTAAACATTATTGGTTAAATAGTTGAATTAAGCTTTTTGAAAATTAAATTTTTTAATTTTTATATTTTTTATTTTTAGTGAATATTTTTAAAATTTTAAATATTTTTTTTACTTTTTTAGATATACTTTATGGCAAATTACATAAATAGTCCCTATAGTTTGGGGTTAGTGTCACTTTAGTCCCTGACTTTTCAAGTGTGACACATTTAACCTTGAATTTTGAATGTACAACTAACAAAAGTTTTCATATTTAATAATGGCAACAAAATCAAAAATATTAAATTATGGCCTGGAAAGTCAACAGGTTCTTATCTTCTCCCACGCAGAGTAACCTCCTTGAATTGCTTGGTTTGGGAAGTGGGTTGGCTTTTTGGCTTTTTGACTTTTTTGTATTAAATTTTAAAATTATTTGAAAATATTGTTAAAAATTAACTTTTAATTTTTTTAATTTTTATAAAAAATATATATAAAATATAAAAAATAATATAATTCAAAAAAATTAAAAACTCAAACCTAACAAAACCCACTTTTCCACCAACAGCCAACTAACAAAAGTTTTCATATTTAATAATGGCAACAAAATCAAAAATATTAAATTATGGCATGGAAAGTCAACTGGTTCTTATCTTCTCCCACGCAGAGTAACCTCCTTGAATTGAATTTATTCTAGTCAACTTATGAAAAGTTAATTAATTGCGGCCAACATTAAACATGATTTTGTTTATTTTTGATAAAAATGAAAACAAAAAACATGATACATTAAACATGATTTTGTTTATTTTTGATAAAAATGAAAACAAAAAACATGATAGGACAAGATCACATTATATTCTCATTCTATATGATATAATGATAATATTTGAGTATTAAATTTTAGGATTGTTTTAGAAATATGATTAAAATTTTTTAATTTTTTTTCTAAAAAAATGTGTAAAAAATATGTGAGATGATATAACTCAAAATAAATTAAAAGTTAAAAGATTATTTTTAACCATTTTCTCAAAATAGTCCTTAAATATAACGTATAACGCTATAAATACAACAACAAAAAATTATAAAAATAAAATATATGGTTCATATTTATTTTAAAGGTAGATCAATGTATCAAATTTGATACTTGCAATAAATTATTCAATTTTTTGCTAAATCCCATAAAATTCATCAATTTCACACATTACAACTAAATTACAACTTATTTTTCCAAATAATCCACATGTTTCAATTTCATCCAATATGGGCTAAAACAAGGGTGACTTTGCCAGCTAGAATTTTCTTCAAAACACTTTAGAATTCGTTCAGTTGTTAAGAAAAGAAAACAAATTATAGAAAAAATTGATTTTTTAATAATTGTAGTACTTTCTCTTTCCAATATTTGTTTGGGCAAATTACTTAAAAGTTCTATTTAGAAGAAGATAAGTCTATTTAGTCTCACAACTTTTTGAATACTCTCAAAAGTTCATTACATATTTTTTTTCTTCATTTTTCTCTACGTTCGTTGTTCTCTACCTCTTTCTCTTCCTGATTTTTGGTGACCTGCTGTCACGACCCAAACCCGCCCCTATGGGCTTAGCACCGTAACCGGCCAGTAATCTAAGATTACCGAAGGCCTGCTTAACAGTAATACAGTAAAACAGAGTACAGGGGCATGGCGGAAGCCAAAAAAAACAGTAAATAAACAATGTCCAATGAGCTGTGACAGTCTGTATGCCAAAAAGACTTTCATTCAAATATATATACAGTCGGACAAAACAATATGTGCATATATACAATCATTCAATTCAGGGACCTAATCCCTATTAAACAGTACAGTACAGTAAACAAAACGGCTACAGAGACAGAAGGGGGAACTAAAACACCCCTAAGCCATAACTTGACGGGCTCGGAACCTTGCAGTGAGGCACAGTGGTTGGCTTGACAAAACTGGAGCTTACCCCGACGCTTCTAACCACGGTCTAGTGCCTGTACACCTACATATATATATGAGCAGTGAGCTAAAGCCCAGTGAATAACGTAATGCGTAAAGAGGTTAAGAATGAATGTCCTTTCAGTATTGAAAACAGTCAGTTGATTCAGTATATCAGTCATTCAGTCATAACAGTCATATGTGGTACATCCATTAGCATAACAGTACAGTAAACAGTAGGTCTTAAAAGACCGAACAGTAAATTATGGCCATCAATCAGTAACAGTAGTGGTTCCAACAAGGGAACTGACAGAGATCTCTGTAACACTAATAGTAAACAGTAGTTGCTAAGGATTTCACAATACAATTCAGAATATAGGACATACATTCATTCAATTAACAGTATCAGTTCAGAAAGCAGTACAGTTCAATTGTTCAGAAGATAATCATTTTGAACATATCTTTACACAGTTGTTACTCACAGAGTTCTGGGCTACAGTAGAGCTAGAGCGCGTCCCCTGTCGCCAACCCTACACAGTTTACAGATTGAACACACACTAAGCTACACAGTTGGAAAAGATAATAACTTAATCCCTAATTTGCGTCGGTGTGGTTCTACATCTATATCCTCATTAAGATGTCTTAAACTAGGCCTAATAATACCTAGGATGAGATGAGGATGCAAAGATGCACTTTAAAAGCATTTTCAGAATTTTCAGAAAACAGGGGTCCTGCTCGAGCGTAGGTTGATCCGCTCGAGCGGACATGCAGACAAAGGTTTCTGCTCGAGCGTAGAATTACCCGCTCGAGCGTTCAGCAAAACAGTCAAAAGTGCTGGATGGGTGAAAATCACGCTCGATTGGGAGCTCGACACCCGCTCGAGCGTCAATTATTCTGCTCGAGCGGACTTCAAAACAGTGCAAAGTACTGGGAGCACGAATTTCATGCTCGAGCGCCAGTCACCCCGCTCGAGCGTGAGTTCAAAATCTGGAATTTCCAGATTTGAACTTCAAGCTCAAAACCAAGTTCAAACGCATCAAAACCAACCCTCTTGGGCTAATTTTCCAGAAAACTCCTCAAAACTCATAGTTTAACATGATTCAAAGCTCAATTTGTAAAATCAAAGCCCAAGGGAAGATCAATTAAACACAATTTCAAACCATTTTTCAAGAACATAATCCAAGCATGACATGCATGAGTTTAGCTAGCTTCCAAGCTTCCAAAAAATGCTCCAAGGAGCCAATTCTTTCCAAAACAAGATGAAATCATGGACTTCACATAATTATGAGCATGCATGTGACAATTTTCCATGGAATCAACTCAAAATTCAATAGTATAGGCATGCATGCATGAATTAAGCTATAATTCAACAATTAAGAGCCATAACTTGGCTCTAGATTTCAACTTGCTCTAAAACCATGCAAGAACCAATTGAATTCACTAACAAGAGGGTAGTTACACTACCTTAGGTCTTGTATCCAAGGTCTAGGAGCTCAATTTGACAATTCTCTAACAATTCCTTCAAGTTCTCTAGCCAAACCCTCAAGATCAAGTCAATTCTCTCACTCTCTCCCTATGAGGTCGGTTGTAGACAACAAATGGCTGAAGAAAAGATATGCAATGTGTATGACCAAGTCTCACAAGTGCCTAGCAAGTGGCCCTCTAGGATGGCAAATTGGTAATTAAGCCAACTATTGTAATTTAACTCATTTTAATCCAATTTAATCATTCCAAATCACATTTTAGATAAATACACCACAAAATCATATAAATTCCAATGAACACAAATCATCAATCAATTTCAGATTCGGCTGCCGATAAGGCCTTCAATTCGCAATTTAAACACAAAGGCATGAACAGATAATCAAACAGTCAACAGATAGACATACAATTAAACAGATATACTTAATCAATTCAGTTCCAGATTT